CCACAGGACCAAGAGTCCCTACAAAACATCGCAGAGCAACAGGCAGCTGCAGCTCTTCTTCCAGTACCTGAAGACCACGAACTGGACATGCACCTAGAAGAATACACACCAAGCATCCCGGACGTTCCAGACGCCACGGAACAGTTCGAACAGGATGAACAAGCCACAGCCACAGAACCTGCGGCAGCGGCAGAACAAGCAGCAGCAACCGCGGAACAAACAGCGGCAGCAGCGGATACAGGACAAACGACAGAACACACAGAACCAGGACCAATGCAAGAAGAAGATCCTTTACCAGTGCTACCGCTGAAGAGGCCATTCGATACACTCTTCATCATGGAAGAGAATGGCACACTCGCACGGGCAGAGCACCATTGGGGTGGAACACCGCCCATGGCATACGGCACTACAAGCAAAGCCTTCTTCAAGGTCTACGCAATGACCAAACAGAGACAACAAGACATCAACAACACAGACAAAGCAGCAGCAGAGAGCGACACCACCGTGGACTCCGACAGTGGAGACTCCAGCACTGAGCAAGCAGAACGGCCCAAATACCACAACCCGGGCATGAGCAGGCAGGAACGCAAACAGCTGGACAGGGAGATTCCATGGAGACACATCTTGACGATGCCACCAGCCTACATCGACAAGTTCCTGGCCGCCATCGACAAGGAGACCAACAGTTGGTCCGAGTGGCGAAGTGTCAAGCCACTCTCAAGAGAAGAAGCCCAAGCCGTCCTGCGAGACAAGATCCTCTCCAAGCGCGTGCTGCGCTCACGGGCCTGCTACCGTGATAAGAATGTGGGCCAAGGTGAAGTCAAAGCAAAATGCCGCATCGTTTGCTTGGGCCACCAAGATCCCGATCTCGAGGTCCTCAACCGTTCATCCCCAACACCTGGAAGGACATCGGAGATGGTGATGTACGCCATGATTGTGGCTGGGATGAACCAGGAGCTCTTCGACACCCAGAAGCCATGGCTGGCATGGGCAGGAGACGCCCAAACTGCATTCCTGCAGGGGAAGCAGAAAGACTCAGAGAGGCCACTACCTCTCTACATGAGGCCTCCAAAAGATGGCCTGATCGAGAAGACCGGCCACTGGCGCTCCGACCTCTACCAGATCCTGGGCAACGTCTATGGGCTCAGCAACGCTCCACACCTTTGGAGCGAGGAGGTGACATCAAGGTTGACCTCCAAGGGGTATGGCCGACATGGCTTCGACCCTCAGCTCTTCTTCAAGAGGGACCCCAAGAGCGGCTATCCAGTCAGCATGTTGATCGTCTACGTGGATGACTTCTTAGGCCTCCACCGAGCTGACTATGAGATCACCGAGATCCAAGACCTCTTCCGCTGGGGCGATCTTCAAAGCTTTAAGGCCGGCAAGGCCATCAAGTTTAAGGGCAAAGAACTGGTCATTGAGCAGCTCTCCAATGGCCGACATCGGATGAAGATCACCATGCAGGGCTTTCTCGACGCCCTCGACGTCGGCAAGATCGCAAAGGGCAGGTCAAGCCAAGACCCTGTCATGACTCCCATGGAGCAGAAGGAGTACCGGTCAGTCAGCGGCTGCTTGCAATGGGCAGCGACACAATGCAGGCCTGAGATCTCACCGCTCATCAGCCTCTCCAACCAAGGTGCACAGACCACCTACCAAGGCCTCAAAGACTTGTACGAGGGCCTGGACTACCTCAAGTCCACGTCGGACCAGGGTCTGACCATCCAGGACATCCCCTTCACCAAGGACTCCCTGGTGCTCGGCTACTCCGATGCGAGCTGGTGCAACGCCAGCCGGAGCGGCTCTCAAATCGGCTTGGTGATCGGCATCACCAGCATGGAGGCAAAGCAGAAGCCGGTAAAGTTCACGCCATTAGATTGGCGGAGCTCACGTGCCCCACGGGTCTGCCGATCGACTCTGGCAGCTGAAGCATGTGCTGCTGACGAGGCAGCTGATCGTGGAGCATACCTCAACCGGATCATCTCTGAGTTGATCTATGCACAACCCTCACACCGAGTTGGCTGCCGTATGTCCTATGCCCAGGCCACGGACGCCCGCTCGCTCTACGACGCCATCATGGCTGAGGCGCCAAACATCTCGGACAAAAGGTCCCTGGTGTCAGTGAGGAGTGTTCAAGAGGTGGTGGACACACACCAGCTCCACTGGGTCCCAACGACCCTTCAGTTCGCAGATGGCTTGACAAAAGCCGATGTCAATCTGCGCAACGTGTGCAGAGCATGGTTCGAAGACCCCAGAGCAGTCCTCGCAGACCACCCTGAGAACCAGAAGCTGCTGGAGCAGCTTGGCGCCAAGGTCAACAAAACAAAGACCAGTGAGAAACTTGCACCATGATTTCCTTTGACCTTGGCACCATGTGGTTCGAAACTAGGATCCTGAGCCTTACCCGTTTTTCACCTTGCGGTGTGCGGAAACATGTTTGCGCGCTGATCGCCGATCGGACGCTGTCGAGAGAACATTTAAAGTGCATATGAACATATATGTACGAAAGGTCGCCTCCGAGGGGATAAATCACCATGTCGAACATTGCATTTTTGTTCCTGCCTCTCGCGTTCTCTTCTCTTCCCGCTGTCCTACCTTTCGTGTCTCCCTCCTCTCAAGTACCATATATAACCATCCTGAAGTACATAGAATTTTGGTACAACTCAATCCCGCGGCACTATAAAAAAGTAATAATACATGGAATATCGAGATCCCAAAAGCATCTTCAGGATGGTTATATCAAAACACCCGCGTGCCTCGAATCGAAACACCCGCGCGCGCGCGAGCTCGCATCCTATGTCCCTTTTCCTTCTCCCATCTTCTCCCCTATGTCCCCTATCTTCCACAGACCATTCCACGATATTCCAAGTACTCGTTTGATCCGCTCGGAGATATTCTATGTACTTTTTTTGGGGGGTCAAAACGAGGTACTTAGAATATGAAATTGAAATGACGGAAGGTACGTTGGCGGCTCAATTCCGTATTCTATCTACTCAAGGATGATTATACATCAACACAATACAACAACATAACATACACTCTATACATCTCTATACACAAAACCACCTAAATTACAAAACATTAGGAGAAGAGGCTCCCATGGCTCCCATAGGACATATGTGGAGAGTCTGGTGGCCATTGTGCACTCGAACCCTGCGCAGCCAGAGCCAGAGAACCAGGCGGAGATGGAAGACCAGGCCCAGCAATTACTCCAGTTGAAGCAGCCCAGTGGAAGAGCAGGCACTGCCAGCATCAATGCTCCAGTTGCGACGTCAACCATCATCAATATGAGCCACCAGAGCCATCAGAGGCAGATGCTGCCATAAAGGAAGCCACACAAGTCCAAAGCATCACATACACCATCCAAGGTGAAGAATACTCCTTTCACCAAAGTAAAGATGGAGGTGGTGGATCACAAACACCAGAGACCAGTGAGTCCACCCAAGGCACCATTCCAATCAATGCCACCAGGACTTCTTCAAAAACAACTTGTGGATACCCTGCCGGAGCTTGAGCCAAGCATGCTAGCAACAGACACTGCTGCCAGCCAATGGCCAGCCACCAGGCAAGTGCCAGCAACCTGTTGCAACCACCAGCAAGGCAGCTTCTCCATCAAGACCACCACCAAGAACTACAGAGGCAGAAGCCAGCATTCCGCCTTGACAGGCTGGAAGAGTAAGTTGGCAATCTTTATCCACCACTGGGCCCACTGGGTTCCAAGAAGACCCAGGTTGGCAGGAACCAATCCCAACAAGCAAGTCAGCAGAGTCAAGACGATGCCAGGACAAAGTGGCCAGTTTGCACCAAGGCCAGTTTGCATTGGTCTACTGGTACGAACGAAGGAAAGCTGGTTCCGCTCGTAGGTCACCCGCCGTGGGCTCCCAATGAGGGCAGACCTCCCGCTTTTGCCCTTCAACTACGGTGTGAGAACCCTTCAGGGTGAATATCATAGTTTACATATATGTATTACATATGTATTGTCGTGTATTGTATTCTATATGTTCGTATAGAAACCTGTCAGGGTGCTCCACCAAAAGGTGTTTCATATATGTATTGCACTGTGGAAACCGCACGGAGGAAAGCGGACATGGGCCAAAAACAAGCGAAATTGGCCCCGACCTCGGGCAGTCGGCCATGCCTGGCCAAATCTAAAGCGTTGCGGTTTGAACAACATGTTTGCCTTTACGCAGTCCAAGTCAGTCGCTTGGTCCATAATATGCTCTTCTCGAGCTGCAAAAAGGTTCAAATAAAGGATTGCATTAATATCCATTTGCAGTGCTGGCGCAAAACGATAGCCAGACCCAAAGATTACATTAGGGCTAGAGCATGCTAGAACCCTTCAACCACATTCGCTAGATAGCGTGAAGATGACATTAGAGTTCTACTGATTTCTTGGTTTGCCTTTGAATTCCTATTGATTCCCTTGCAAATTCCTTCTGATTGATGATGATTGATGATTGGTTCCTTTTTAAAAACATGTTGTTTCCATAAAACACTGTAAAATACAACGGCTTTTACTGTAGCACCTGAAAGGCAACTGTTACATCCCTATAAAATCCGGTCTCTAAATGTTTGGGTGGTTGGTTGCAACTTTGGTCAATTTGCCTAAATCTTCGTTCGTCCCACAAATCATCGTTTGGATGACCTTGACTTTGGCTGCTCTTCATCGGATTGTATCAAATATAAATAGTTTGTTATGTTTTGTATCTTCCAAGGGGCCCCCCTCTTCTGCACAGTGAAATTCATTCTATATAGAGGTTCGATGGAATCCACTCCCAACCAATGACAGGTTGAGGCAAACAAATACGTGTCGGTGTGTACCTCCATCCATCAAGACTTGTTGTTTGACATCCCAGTCAGACTGTAGTTGGCAGAAACAAGACCCCAACCTCCAAAAAAGACCTCCCAGGTCACTCACTTAGTCTGTATAGTTGCGATGATGTTGAAGATCCTTCCATTCGGTGGATCTTCCATTTGGGCACCCCGATCTTCCGTTCCTTCAGGTGGCCACGATGAGAAGAACCCCTACGTCTGTGGGATGTTCGATCTCTCCCAGATGCTCCCGAGCGCCGCCCGATGGACGGTGATGACGGTGACGACGGTGACACGACCGAGCGCTAGAAAGACGGAGGTCAAGCTACGTGTTGGACCTATTTCCCATGCATTTCATGTCGGAGGCCAACGAACTGCCAGAGGTTCAGCTTGGCAAATAGCTCGGGCGAGGAAGATGGTGGACACAGGTGCCGAGGAGGGGTTCCGTGACCCCTGTCCTTTCACGGGACTCAGGCTACTCACGAAGCTTGGCTAGTTGCAGGTGGTTTAAGACTAAGCATATTTAATGATTTTGATCAATTCTATAGCTAAGTCTACAAGGGGTCTCTTTTGTAGCAAGGTTTCACCCATATATTTCAGCCCCCGTTTGACCACTGGTCGCGGAAGGTCACTGGCAGACAGTCTGGAAGAGTTATCAAACCCAGCAGCCTGGGTTTGCCAGATGTTTCCAGCTTGTACACCTGGGATATCCTGCCCTGTACACCAGGGTCTCCTGGCCTGGGAGTCAAGGCTCCTTCGACACCAAGGATTTGAGCATCGACAGCAAGCACCACGCGCCTTGGAATGAGAAGCGGGGGAGCTGTGATTGAGAGGAGTTGAGCGCATAGTTGTGCATGATGCAAGAGCAAGTAATCTTGACTCGCATAGCCGCACAGCAGTTGTAAGGGTCTGTTGATGTTTGTTGGGTTGTCATAGTGTTTTATTTGTTTGGTTGGACCAACGGCGCATCAGAGCGGGTTTTTGCGGAGACCTCCTACACATGGACGCAGAAAGCTGGTTGATGAGAAGAGTCTTACAAGTCCATTGTCACGGTCCACTCGCGCAGAAGTCGATTCTTCTGATTTGTTTGCCTGACTAAGGGCCATTAAGGGCCTAGGGCCCTTAAAAGAGGACTTAGATGTGCCCCTCTGGCCTATCGAAGTCAGGGTTAGACCTCACATGAAGGCACCGCGTGGCAGTGTTGGTGCCTTTGTGAATCTAGCAACAGGGTTTATGGTGTAGGAGATTCAATGATCGGAAAGGCCAGCATCTAAGTGCTCACATTGATGGACAAAATATGACCAAACCATCCCAAAATCGGCAAGCGAAGGACCTTGGGGATGATCAGGGGAGAATGCCCCCCCCCGGATGGGTCCTTGTTTTCCGCTCAACCAAGGAATCGGGGAGAACATGTGACTAGGCGACCGCACCGACCAGAGCTTTGTCCAACCCTCACATGGGGTTTGCCAAGGTTTCGGTCGGATTTCCGGTTTCACACGATCCCTGCTAGACCAATTTGTCTTGTGGCTGTGTGTGCCAAACAAGACCAGACAAGATAACTTATAAACAATATGTCCATATACACATAAATACATATAATATAAACAAGTAACATTAATTAACATCACTCCAGCCTGATCCAGGGTACTCATGATTTTTCTCCGAAACGGTCCGCAAAATGTCCGAAGAACCCCTTCGTCAGTCGAGAGGGTCAGGGTGACCGGTCTCTCCAAACAGATTGGCGGCAAGTGGTGCTCCTGGGGATCTCCTGGGGTGTCCTGTCATGTGTTTTTGGTAGGTTTTGAAAGGCCGGTCTCTGCCCTGGCCGGACCCTCTAACAGGTGCAAAGACGACCTGTACGCAAGCTGGCGAACACGAGCCGTTCCCGGGTTCCGCCAGGGCGGCGTCACCGATCACCCTCCCAGATCCAGACCGCTCAGACGAGGTGGCCATGTTTAGCCCCGTTTTGGATCCCAACAGCGTCCAGTACGTGCACCACATGATCCTCTATGCCTGCGATGTGCCTTGGCGAGCGGCGAGCCGTGCGCATATATTTGACCATGCATGGTTTAATATACACCAGGTACACTCTGACGAACACATCACATGGAAGTGGAAAACCGCCTGTTTGTAGAGGATAGTTGTCTTCCAGGGCCCCATTTTCCACTTCCATGTGATGTGTTCGATGGCATGGGTACCTTGGGTTGAAGGGTTTGTGAGGTCGAATGTCCCAAGATCAGTAGTTTCATCACGAGGGGTGTATGAATGTCATTCAATGGAAAAGGGTTTGTGGTCGACGGAGGTTTTGTCATTCATTTCAACTTGTAAAGTCAATATATAGTAACGATGGAGCCTTCCAACACCTGGGGCAAGTCCCATCAAGTGACTTCATACATCTCAAGTGACTTGGTCCGCAAGGCGTCCAGTGCGGTATCTCTCAACAATGCATATGGCCATGGCTGTTGGTGTCCAAAATGCAAGCCAAAAAGGGTGTCGAGAAACCCGAACACATCCCTTTGCCTTTTCTTCTTTTAAATGACCTTTTGGTGTCCTGGTTTCAGGTTACCTAAGGCCTGCAAATAGGTCATTTAGGGGTTCCGGTCACTTTGAAGAAGCTGGTCGATTAATTTTCCCTTGACAACAGTTGAACTAGACACCGCTCGACTTCTTCGAATTTACAGGGATCAACAGACTAGGGTCAAGCCCTTTGCATCCAAGAACTGGCCGAAAACGAAATGTGAAGAGGCCGGGGCCTACACATGCTCTGAAGGCACAAAGCCTCTGAACCAAAACCTCCAGTTGTGCCCCCCTTGGTTCTTTTGACGGCACAGAGGGTCCCATGACACCCCACCGCGGGTCAGTGCTTAGTTTTAAGCAGTTGTTTGTGGAGTGTGCTTTCCTCTCGGTTCCAATCCCAAAAGTATGGGAAAGGCATTTGGACCTATCATGTTCGTCTTCAGTCTTACTGCAATCCTTTTCACGGCCCCCTCAAACAAATTCAACATTGGAAACACTATTCTCAACTTCCAGGCCTCTAGGCAATTTACTTTTTTATTGGCCTTCCCTTTTGTGTGAAGGATTGTTTCCATCAATCGTGTTGGGTATCTTGGGAAAAATCATGAAAGACCAATGTTCAATAAGAGATCTTGATGTTCCTGGGCCAAGCAGCCCAATCATTGATTTGATTGGTTCGTTGCTTGGGAGGTTCCACTCATCGAAAGACAAGCCTTTTGTCTCGACGTTGATGCATGAGATTTGTCCATATAGAGTCCGGGCGTTTGCGGTAGGTGCGTTTGTGTGTGAAACCCTGTTATATCATTATTATAATTGTTTAAAGCAATGGTTGGAGACACCTGTACGGCCTCTCCACCAACGAAGTTGGCAATACATAGTGAGGATATCAGTTCTGGACACAGATTGTGACTTGATGTAAACCATATATTGTTTCTGACCCTCTCGTCTTTCTGTTTGCGCACGCTTGGCATGTCCTCTAATGCAGCAACATAAAGGTCCCATGCAGAACTGATGAACACCGAAACGTGTTTTTGCAAGTACTAAAAAAAACACACAAACAAACATAATGTGTGTGTTCCTCTGCTATTCATGTCATTTATTTTTGTTCCACCTAGAAGTCTAGCTCTTCCTGGGAAAAGGCGCACCTCTTCCTGTGTTCGGCAGTTGCATGTTGACTCGGATGTTCAAATCCCTACTTGGCATCCAAGTCGGGCACCCTATACAACTGTTGGTCTCTGATGGTCTGTGATATCAGTTGAGTGCTTGTGTTTGCATCCTTTTGTTTGCGTTTTCAGAGTGGCAATTAGAGCATCAAGTGGAGTAGCAATCCATTCCCAAATGGGTGTCGTTGAGACCCAGACCTTCCTACCCAAGAAATGGATAACTTGCCCACCATTTGTGATGGATTGGTTTCCCTACTCACAAAACCAACAAGCACCGGAGTGCAAGGAAGGAGACCTTGCACAGCTATCTTCCATTTTTTTCTCACACACAAGAGGCCCAGGCCGGAGTTGTGCTATTGATCACACCTGGTTGCCGCATGCGCTCCAGAATCCTATAAGGAGGCACCTAGGGTGCATATAGCCATGCATTGCTTGAATCAGATCGTAGAACAGGTGAACCTCTATTTTCCAAGTAAACGGTTCCCAGCTCATCCGCCTTGTGTGGTCAAATCGCTCCAGGATGGCGTTTTTCAGCATTTGCAGGCCTGATCAGCCAGTGGTGGGAGTCTCTGGAGTTCCTCTTCGGGGTAGAACGACCCAAAAGAGACATCCTATTACACCCTGAGAGTCTAGTTTACAACAGCTTTCTGCTTGGTGAAGTGGTTCTTCCTGCTTGGTGTTTGTCGTTCCAAGCCGCCTCAGTCTTTGCCAACTTGCCAATGAAGGCCTCCATTTGAATGAGCGGTTCTGACAAATTGCCATGCATCACAATGCCATCTTCATCCGTCTTCTATAGAGCTTCGCACATTGGCGATGCAACAAGAGTTAAGCAGTGATTGCTTTTGTTGTTGGTGGGTGTCTTGCAAAACCGTGTCGTAAAAACTATATACTTGGTATTTGATCTTCCTCGCGGATACGATCCTGTATCAAGGAAACAAATGTTGTTGTTGCTGCTGCTGCGGCTGCCAGGCTTTTCGCCATCATAGCACATGTGTTTAGTCCATGTTTGTGTCATTTTTAGATACCAAAAAGCCGTATCAATGTTTTGTTGGCCTGTGTTCAATCATCTGAACAACAAACACCGTACATGCCCATGGCCCCATGTGAACCTCGGCAAGCCAAACACCTATACTTTTCCAAAACTGATGCCCCCAAAAAACAGAATGAATTGGTTGACTGCAGCTGTGATTCTTACATACCCAGAGATTTACATACTCGACCGGTACTGGACCCCCAGGACGGACTGCGCCTTCGAATGGACGGCTGTCCCTCACCGTGGATGGTGTGACTCACGTGGTTCCGGGCCGCTCTGGTCGGGCCGTTCGCCGTTGGAAGCCCATGGTGGGTGTCGTTGCGAATGGGCTGAAGCTCTCACTCGGTTTATTGATTGCCTTATAATAGAGATCTATGATCTATGTACACCCTCCAGTCGACCCTCCAGGATCGACTCCCAGGGTCGAAAGCCTTCAACTGCCGAAATCACCAGCTTCCCTCACCATGGGCAGTCAGTGAATCACCCGACCTTGCCCTTCGAAGATTGGCCCCTTTTCTTCCCAGGTCGGCCTGAGCTTCCCAGGTGGAAAAGAGGTGAAGGCTTCCATCGCCCAAGCCCGCCGGAGCCAAGCGATCTCCGCCAGGTGATCCCTGAGTGCGAGTCCATGCCTCCCGGATGCAACCAGATGAAGTGGCCCTGGGCCGTCGGCAGCGAACCCATCGTCTTCCCCGCGGAGGCGCCGAGGGAAGACGTCAGCGGCGGGGTCTTCAGACGTCCCGCGGTGCCACGCCTGGTCCGGTGCCGGAAACGCGCGGTGGGTGGCTTGCCGGGCCTTGCTCCTGGTGACCCAGGGTGGACAGCTGAAACTTGCTCCTGGTGACCTGTGGCCAGGAAGGAAAGACTCTTGGAGCTGGAACTTCTGGAACCCGTGGAGGTCCGGAAAGGGCGGTCTTGTTCAGACATCCCTTTCCGGACACTGCCGACTGGAATACAGGCCTGCATTGACTCCCCTGAAACTGCATTTACCAGGAGCAACCAAACCCTATAGAAAAAAATAACCCAGTAACAACATGTAACAACAAACTAAGATGTTCCTTTTTCTGAAAACCTGTGTGGTCTCGTCGGCCAGGTTTCTTTCGACCCTGCTTCCAGGTTCAATCGGTGAAACCTGTGTTTGGTTCCTGTTTCCAGACCCAGATGTCCGAAAACTTGGCCGTCTGGTGCCTCTACCGACGTCGTCCCGTTCCTACGGACGTCGGGCGGTCCGTCGACAGGCGGGGATGCCAATGGGTGAGGGGAAGAAGTGGTTTGCTTTGCAGCACCTGGACGGCAGCGGGAGAAGAGTTTCTGGTGCGGGAAAAGTCAAGTCGACATGTGTTGGGGTGTTTTCGGAATTGACACGGTTGGACAGAAGAAATGAACATCCCTGATCAGTATATATTAATGGATTCTGCCGTTCATGTTGGTGATTTGGAACTCAAAAGAGATCGCCATGATCATCAAATTCATAATATATGGACACCTCCGTTTCAAGGAGCAGGCACGCACTTGATCGCACGCACGCCAAGCGTGGCCAGAATCTTGAGGCGTGTTCAATGATGGTGAGTGATCTCCCGTCGCGATCTTTGGAGATAAAAGTAGGCAAAACTGCAGAGGTTTCAGAGTAGATGGCACTGGCACAGATGTCCTTTCGATGGGGGTGCTGAATCATGCTACATCGAAAGACATCAGAACACGACGTAAGTGCTACACCATGCTACACCTGGCACAGATCACATCGTTTATCACATTTGCCCTCGCTGCAACCATCATGCAAGTGGAACAATGGCCGCCCTTGGAAAGACGATGAAATCCTCTACAAAACATGGAATCCTCTACAAACAGGGGGTTGTCCACTTCCATGTTTCTTGCAGGGAAGGTTATAGTAATCCCCGTACACGAACTAGTAATGCACCTCACCATGCACCAACACCGGGTGTGTCCCAGTCAATCAGTGAGTCGATGCTCACAAAAGAAAGGGTTTGCAAGCTTTTTTACCATCATGCACTGGGCCTGGTGAAGATACCCAGCCAATACTTAAGCACCAAAGCCGCATGAAACAAGATGACCGACTCGACCGACCCATCCTGACAAGAAAACGCACCCCCTGCCGAGGTGAACATCACAGAAAAGCCCTGAACTCGAAGGATTTTGAAATGACCAATGAAACGATCCGCCAGGTGGCTGGACTTGATGTTCTATAGGGATCCACTGCCAAACCTCAGGTTTGGTACAACTGGACCCTCCAAACCATTCCTGGCACCTATATAAAAGTGTCTCCAAGCACCTTCTCAGAGGGTACGCGGATCCATCCGGGTCGTTCCCTCTTGGCACACCTTCATCTCGGGTGTCCTGGTGGGAGTGGTAGTGGAGCGGCTGCATCATGTGGCTCTAGGGTCACGAAGGGTCACTCACTTCCCAAATGTAAAATCCGTTTGGGGGACTTGTTATGACTTGTTATCCTGTATTATCAGCATGATGTTGTTGCATCTACTTGGTGCTCACCTTTGGGCCTCCGCCCCTGGCCCTTTTCCTTCGAGGATGCACTACTACAACCCCTCCCTTGACACTGGCGTCATGGACAGCAGCGGCGTCCGGGTGACCTTTGCCAATACTTTGCGTACCCACGACGCGGCGGCCCGACCTTCAATCGACTGGACTTGTTGGATGGACCCACTGTCGACGGGTTGGGGGCTGACGGAGTGATCGAAGGGAATTCCACGGGGCAGCAGGAGCTCGTTCGGAATGCAGGTGGAGTCCAACAGGAATACAATGAACGCAATGACCAACCGGGATTGGGATGAATTCGGTCGGAGTGGTTGAATTGGGTCGGATTCATCCGTAACAGGTTCTTCAGCACGAGAAAAGGCACCTGATCCGGCCCGATCCACCTGTTGGGTGGGAAATATAGCGCTGAGATGCCCTTTCTGGCGAAAACGAACATGGGACCCTGAAAACCACTGGTGTGTAAAGGAAAACCCCTTTTCCGGTGAGTTTTCGGGAGTGTAATGCGTTTTGTCAAGCTGGGCACAGTCGACTTTATACTTGTATTTTTAATTTCTGACAACCATTTGGGCGAGAAGAGGCTCTTTGAGTCCCCTGGATTTGCAGCAAACCCGTTCCACATCGCAGTGATGTTCGATCGAAACAACTGCATCCAGTTCTGCATCCACTTGGAACACTTGAAGTCACCTGTCTTTTTCGTGGCCGACTGCATCCAGCCCCGCATCGCTTGAAGCGCGACACCAGACCGGAACAAGAACGGCCCAGTAAAACCGGGTCCTTTGCCTCATCAGATCTCATTGGGTAGTGTTTGTGACACTGACATACCCCCCTCGGGATCCGGACCTTCTCAGGTGTTCGACTCGACACTGTTCTGTAGCTTTGGATGGTCCAGTCGTACCTGATTTTGAGAAGGCGACCGACTGGAAACCCCTCTGGGGCTCCAGGGCAGGTCAAGATGGCCAACGACACGCTCAGATGGGCACCTTCGTCCTTTTTGCTGCGTCCAAGGCAACGTTCCGGTTCAACGGTGGCACCGGCGACAACCAGCGCGACCCCATTCCTGCCGGGCAGTCGGAGTACACGCTTTCGCCCAAGGCTGGGGCTCTTCGGCCGTCCTTTTCGTAGCGACGGGTCCAATGCTCTTCACAGCCGTGTTACATATGAAGTAGTAATAAGTAGCATAGATGCATATAGCCTAGATATACTAATTTGCTTACTATATGTATATTGGTATGAACCACGTCGTCATATGCGCATTCCACCTCGACTCCACTTCTGGGCTAGTAATTCTCTTTACGCCAAAGAGCAGCTGCCACTTCCGGTAGGAAGTATATACTCCAGAGGTTCCCGACCCGAAGCTTCAACAGCCAGATCCTTTGGCTTGGGAAGACCATGGTTTTGCTATGTTTCGCTGAGGGTGAGGTTCTTACCCCCTCATAGGAGGTTTGTACCTCATGTAAATCCCCTTTTGTCCGTTTTCCTGAACAGCACATCCACCAGAATCAGGTGCAGCTCTGCTGAACCAACCCCCGTCTACGTCTCCTCCTCTGCGATGGGAGAAGAGAGAAACGACACCGGAACCACACCCAGACACAACCTGGCAAATGGGACACAACCTGTCCAGTGTGTAGCGACCTCGACACGGGGTCTCTCGACCGACTCTTTGCCAGACACGGATCCACCGGACTGAGACTCTGGGTACGACTGGAACCCGAAGACTTCGCCGATTTGGTGTAAATCAGGTGTCGAACACGTCACTGTATCTCGGATCTCAGAGGGTATGTGCATGCTAAGTGCATCCGTAAAATTCTAAAACACTTAAGAACCAGAAACTATATATGGATCGTTTATGTTGTTTTTTCTCCAAGACTATATTTTGGTCATTTCATTTGGGACATGATACCATTGGAAATCCAAAGAAACCAACAACATCTCCAGTCTGGACAGCACTTCTGATGTAAAGGATCTCAAGCTGGCATCAGATTGGATTTAAACACAAAAACTTTTGTTGCTTGTTTGGACGGGGTTTTCTCACGTGACAGAACATCACCGACTGATCGATCGACCGGGCCCACGGATCCTGGTGCTGTGCAGATCGAGCCCACGGATGGTTTGGCTCCCGACACCAGGATTGGGGGTCCAGGGGCCAGGCTGTCCCAGGGGATGGACTGGACTTCCTCGCCTCTCAGGCCACGGTGCCTGCATCCTGCACCAATACCTGGCGTCTCGTTCCTGCGACCGATCCGACGGAAGTGGGGACCGTACGGTCGCATCGGACAGCGAGAAATCGCTGAAGCGAACGTATAGGACGGTGTCATCAAGAGAGGACTTATCAGAACACAGCTGGTATGTCTTGCAAAGCGGCTTGAGGTTTTTGTCTGTGAGCCTTGGAAGTAAGAGCTATACTAACGCGAAGTTACAAGCACTTTTGTTTTTTTGATTGGAGAGCATTGGGCTGCACGGGGTACTCATGACACGAGATGATTCACGAGATGAGGAAACAAACACGTGGGAACCAAATACATTCCTACCAACTACATGGTCCGGCGTGTGTAGATGGCCGTGGTGTTTTGTGGCCATTTGCATGAGTTGCAGAACGTATTTTTTTATTGAAATTCCATTGGGGGTAGGGTTTGTGGATATATCGCAAGTATGAAGTCCAGTTATTTTTGGTTCGGAAAAACTACTTTGCGCCCGTTTGTCCGCGCACCGTGCGTCAGAACAAGGCACTAATCGAACCAAAACTGCAACGTACATATGCGTGCCACATACACACAAACTGTCACCCCATGCACACATGACAGCATGTGAAAGCATGTGAACGCATGTGAAGGTAAAAAAAAGTAACAGCGCCACGCCAACATGCCTGTCACATACACATACGCCATTACCGCCCCACCCCACCCCCTCCCCCACCCCCCCCATGAACGCATGTGAAAGCATGCATGTGAACGCATGTAAAGTAAAAAAACGCCTGAAACGCACGGCCCCTTACAGGCGCCGATACCAAAAACATGCACAATACCACAGAAAAACGCTCCTTGCCAATTCAACGCTCTCCCCAGTGGCCCCGCGGACACACAAAAAGTGCTGTAAATACCACACGGATTTCGCAAAAAAGTGCTCAAAATGCCCCGGCCGTCTACGCCAGCCCAGCCAACTACATTCCTACTGTTTTTCAGAGGTGCTGCTTTCTTTCACAGCAACATATTATTAAAAAACACTTGTTTTGTAGACTTGCATGATTTGCATGACGTACAACAAACGCAGTTGCAGTCTCAAGCATAGTAAATCAGAAGGTTTCGGAAGGTGGATTTAGGAATAAGCCCGGGATTAACTCGGTTGGTGCAGGTTTTTGGAACCAGTTTTTGTGACAACCTGATGTACTTTGTCAAATACGGCACAGATTTGTGTGGGTTAAACATACGAATTTGTTACGGGCCGCAGAAGCTCAGAAGCACCCAAGCGTGTTAATCCACAACATGTCCGCCAGTTACTCTTTCGCGCATGCAAGAATCCAAACACAAGACCAAAAAATGACTCGTCATGTGTGTACTGTTGTTTAGCCACTTAGCCCGTACCAGACCTGAGTGGAGGGATCAATCATCAATGAGGCCCCATTCATCCTGAAAGACATATTTATATTTCAGTTGTTTCATGAACAAGACTCTTCTACAATACACAAACATCACAAACAAGTACGCTTTTCGGAGAAGAGTACGTCGTCGTCCGTCTCATACATGGATGCCTTGGTGATGGGTCGTAGGAGCGGCGCTGAACGCGCGCCCGGGGAGGCTTGTAGTCACCTCTGACGAGGGGAGGTCCACAGGTCGGGCCACGTGGTCGGACACGGTCTCAACGCGGATCCGATGTTTGCTCCCGAGGAACGTGGAGGAAATCAATGTTCTGGGAGTGGCCTTCTGGCCCAAAATCTGGGGCCGTCCGTTACGCGCAAACGATGGACACAATGTCTGGAGTCCAGCCAAGGGTGTTATTGATGGCACAAGGCTTCATGATTTGGGGGCTTGGGTTTTTGGCCGTGTCCCAGCAGGGAAACCCCTTGAAGACCCTATTCATCCAAATTCGGGCCAAAGTTTGTGTTGGTATGACCAACCCTCAACAACAGATCATGGCATTGGGCATTGGTCACGGATACATGGCATTGGCAATGATTAATGTTTGATGTCGACGTATTTTTACCTCTTTGACCTTGCAGTTTTCTCCAGAAACACCATGGAAGACAGAAGAACGAACACTGCAAGCTCTTCCGGAGCACTGCAAGCACAGCAAACCATCCAAACCCAGCGACTCGACGGGTGTTGGCGAGCGACCTGCAAACGACCAGAGGACGGCCCAGAGCGTGGCCCAGGCTTTGAATCTGAAGGATGGACCCTTTTTGGGGTTCCAACTGTACCTGGCCTCCCTCTTGAAGGTGGTTGGGGTGGATTCCAGAGGTTGGCCTCCACCTGACTGAGAACATGGGCCGGGAGCCCTTTTTTATACCCTATGGATCCACTGCCGCCCATTTTTTGTTGATATGTTCGACACTTTGATGTAGGTGTGAGGGTGCAGTCGTACCAAACCTGAGAAGGTGGCAGTGGATTTCCAACATACATGGATGGGCCATAAATGGGATAGATTTCTTGAACTCTTTCCATACATGGATGGTCTCAGTACTTCATGGGGCACAATACCCAAGACATCCATGGCCAGAAAGACGCCCATGCCCAGCGGTTTCTTGGAAGACCTACCTCAATCCTCCGGCTGTGCCCTATTTCAGCCTCTGGCAGAAACATCAAAAATTTCTGCCTCTCACCTTGGTTTCAGCCTCTTAAACCAAAAACTGCCTCTAGCAATTTTGGCTCTTTCCATGTTTAGGCCACATGTATGAGGGACTGCATATGCAACCAAATCTTCTTCAATGCATGGTTTGCGTGCTGTTTCCCAAGATTGAACGTAAGGAAAGCAAAACCCCAACCATCCGGAGGTCCAGCAATGCCAAACCAAACAAGAAGAAATCAACATATTAATCCATGGAATCCATTGACCAGTTCTTCCTCGATCGATGCCCCCATGCCCTCATGCCCGACGCAAGCCAGTTGACCGCGCCTCGGATGCAACCGGACGAAGAGTGAGAGAGGAGACGGAAACAAGAATGGAGAGGGATGACAAAGATAGGAGATAAACAATTAAGAGATGGAACAAATATACGAGTGACACGCACGCACACCCACACACACACACACAAATGCTGACTTTTCTCCAAGACAGCTGCAACAGTCACAGATTTCGAGCCCTTTTATGGCGCAAGATCTGCATGCGTGCCTTCACCTTGTATGCCAACAGGGTGTTGGACACACAATTCTTGGCGCTGACCCTGCGCGATTGACGCGCCAGGCATCCAATGTAATCTTCTGCCATGGAACAATCGAAAGTGCATGGGTTCAACACATACTCATTCCCATTTGACCTTTGTATGAAATCAGCAATGTGATCCAGAGCATGCGCTTTTGGCACCATGCTGTACAATGTGTAGCGCTTGTTTTGAGCAATCCGTGCAAGGTGACCATATGCGGAGAGAAAGGTTTTGATGCTTCGGTGAATGTTGAAGCGACACTGCCTCCTGAGCCACAGGCCATGGTTGTGTATCTTTTGAAAGCTGAGGCCCCCTTGACACCCACGCAGCATCAGAGTCAGAGTGTTGTCTGCCGGATGGCTGATCAGGGCCAGCCCTGTAAACCATTGCAGCCATCGAAGTAGCAAGATCGTGTCACTCCCCTTGCAGCCAATGTACGGAAAAGATCCCTGAGTAGGCATGTGAAGCTTTTGGATGGAGAAAGACCTGAGGCCAGCTGGTGTCTCCCGGTGGGTGTGGCACCAAAGGGCAAAGCTTGCCCATCCTCTCTCCAATCGCGCCTTCAATGCCCGACTCTCGCTTGCGTCAGTTGTATCGTCGAAGTGTCCTTCATGGGCAAGCATGACAATCGTTGATCCGATGAAATTCCTCGCAATGCCCAACCTGAAGATATGAAATGGGTCCCCCCGGAACCACATGCTCGCTTTGCCAGAATTCCAGGGCTCGAAAGCTATTGGTGCAAATGGAGGTATTGCTGTCCATGGTACCTCGATGTGCACTGTTCTTTTCCATTGTGCCCTTGCTGTGAAGTCTTCAAACGGGTACTGGGGCAGCCCTGCCTTGCAATCTGAACAGCAAGCTATCTGATTCACGTGGCCAACATTCTGATAGCTTCTGCTCAACATGCCACACTTGGCAACGTACTCCAAATCGCCTTTGAACCCGAGCAATGCAAATTTGTATGTGCCTTCAGGTCGTTTCACACCATCGGTGCACAACTGTCTCAGGTCTTCCGAAATACAATGCAAAATCGACAGAAGCAAACCTGGAGTGCTTTGGTACTTTTTGCTTGGAAAGGCAGCTGCACAGAAGTGTGTTAGGTAGGAATGGTTCTTGGAATTCAGCCTTTGTGCCATTGGATCATTGCAATCCCTTGCGGAATGTTTCTCTTGAGCACAGCACGTACAAACAAATGGGTCCATAGCAGTGTCAAGACCCAAGACTGGCTGCACGCTGATGCACTCAATTGGTTGGTTCTTCAATGAGCGCCCCGCATCCCCATGTATGATGAGAGGTATCACATACCTATAGTCAACATCAGCGTCCTGAAACAGCAGATGCGATGGGTGTTCCACTCTGTAGGTCCTCCAAAAGCTGTGCAGCAACTGCTGCGCTTTAGGGCCAGGATTCAAACCACCAAGGCAAATCCAAGGATAATGTTCCAGCAAGTGTGCAAACATGTGGGTGGGCTTCAAATACGGAAGAAGGGCAACAGTTCCGTCTTCTTGAAACTGATGGTATGAAATCGGAACTTTCCTCAAACTGCACAGGACAAACAACTGCAGAATAGATTATTATTTACAGCACCCTGGAAAGAGCTAGAAACAAATAAAAATGCCAAAGCACCGCCGTGACTCAGCGCAAAGCCAAAGCGCTTTACGGTTCGCTTGTACTGTCTAGATGCATTCTTCGCAGACCGTCCCAGCATCGATATTGTAGAGGGATGCAGTGCCTCGTGTGGGTCGCATTGCAGCTCAGCCTGCAAAGCCTCCCCGTGCTTCTGAAGTGTTTGGGCAGGAGCCTGAGGCACAACATGGACAACGTCTAAAAGAAGGAGGCAGAGTCTTAAGATGAGGGCATCCCACCTTTAAACATTGGGAACTCACTCTGAAAACATTTGCGCAAATTCATGTGAGCAGCTCCATTTGCTATAGTTTCCACCGCATGATGGAGAAGAGGTCCAGGTGTAAGTGAGGAACTCGATGCACCTGGCTCATGCCGACGCAGCGATACTATAGTCAGTTTGAGGTGCCTTGCGCCCAGTCTCTATCGATCCCAATTCTGATCTAAACAATGGACATTGACGCGTTCAACGGGACCCTGGCTTTTGGCATACACATGCAATGCACAAAGTAGCGCTCACCAGAACTCACAGCTCCCTTTTGCCACCCTGTGATTTGCAATATAGTCTTGATGAAAGATCGGATTGAGTGGATGTTATCACCCACCCCGCAAGGCTTTTCAAGCATTGCTCAATGCCCCAAGCAGAAATATGATTAATGCAGTTGCTTTGGATGCTTGCCCCCACACGACTATGGTCTTGGGTTTGAACCTCTCAACATCAATCCCAATTATTGCAAACACACGGGTCCGTGTGGGAAGAGCTTCACCCGCAACGCCCGAAAAACAAGTCACAAACAGTTCATTTCCCACCCCTAGATTTTTTGGGCTCCTGCTTAACGACCTGCCTTTTGGCAGTCCTAGCAGGGGGGCATTCACCTTCCTCACGCTCACGCTTTTCTTTCTTTTGCTTCGACTTGATTTGAGAGATAAACGGCCTCACCAACTAATAAATATGATCGTTTTGAAACACATGCACAAACACATGCATACACAAAACGGAAACAAATCGGCGCAGACGTTGGGCGCCCTGCTGTGAGCGAGTGGTAAGGTTGAGGGCCTCCGCGCACCTCAGAGAAATCGTTGACAGAACCATGGCGGAAGCAGAAGCTGGGAAGGAAGTGGATGCAGGATCATATCATGATTGACCCCCCAAAAAGGCAGCTATCAAACTCTTGGCCCCTATACCAACCAAACACGGATTACCAACATAACGGAGGACACACAAGGAAGAATGTCATGAAAGTGGGTCGGGCATAGCCTGGTTCTTTTTGGATGTAGAATAATGTAGCCAACACAGCGGCATCCAACATAGGGAATCCGTTATCACCGATGGACCGATGTCTTTTCTTCTCTTGGTACTTCTGGTGGGATCTGGTGGGTGCCTTCCTGCTGTTGGTGAGTGGACACATGAAAAGCAAACATAAGCTAGAACCTCTATTGCACTCAACCCACATCACTACCAATGGCTTTGGAGGTACTCATTGCGGGGCTGGGCCGGAGCAAACGCAATAGGTGTTTGGGGTTGGAACGACTGCAAACTGGAGTGTCTGAAATTGACTGAAACCCTCCTCACCATCTTCCGCTCAACATTTTTCCTGTTTGGTGCGCTTATTAAATTGGACTTTCACACCTGGAATGAGGCCAAAGCTTGGGGAGAAGGCTTGAAGGGGATTTGAAATCATGCAGTCCAAACCAGCCAAGCGTTGCATAGCTACCTCAAAAGGTTGGAGACACCAAAGGAATCACACCAGTTTGTGGTCTGACAAAACGATGCAAAACCAAGCGACCCGTAAGACTCCTTAAGGGTCCCTTCGTTTCAGAAGCGTCCCTCAGGATGGCCGAATCACCTTGCTGGAGATCCAGCGTGGCTTCAACGACGCTTGTTTGGGTCATGCCAGCCATTGCTTGTTTTATACAATGGCTTTGCAACAAAATG